GCCATCTCCAAGAGCTGCGTGCCTGGCCTCAGTTGGTTCCAACTGGTACCAATATTAATTAATGAATCCAAAACAAAAAGGCAGAGATATGAAAGGACACCCCAACTGTTACCGCATTGGCAGCCTCATGCCTATCTATCACATCATGGGAATTTCAGCGGAAATGTGAAGAAAATCACAAATTAGCGTTTTAGAGGAATTTGGGGGTTTCTCAATCTCAAGCATTTACAGTCGGCCATCTCGTCGAACTCCACCTGGTGGGCCCATGCCATGTGGAGACACCCTAAAGGCCATAGCTACACGAGACCTACAATTGCACGAGAATGGAACCATTGCACGCCTTAACTACCTTCCCGCAATCCCACATATGCTTCAGTATTGCTACGCTCACATACGTTTATGCTAAAGTCTTTGCTTCCTGACTGCTAAAATCGGGATCGCGATTGCATCTGAGATAATTCCGAACAACTTCCAGTGGCATCAATTATGTTACAACATTGTTGGCGCATTTAAATAAAAGATTCTTGTAGAAATGAAACAGAAAGACACGCCTATTCATTCCTCTTCATGATTCCACTTGTTCGCGTTTTTATGAATTTTAATCCTTAATCAGCTTAATGTCCCCATACGGTTGGTCTGTGCACAGAAATAAGGTGGCACATACTCGCGCATCAACCGGTCTGCCATCCCTTCGCTCGGGTACCTCATCCCTTACCCACACATGCACAGTTGGTTCACCGAAATGCCTTCATAATGGAAGAAGAATGTGGAGTGGCATGAGGATCGTGCGTGACACCATTTCATCCACATCCTGTACTTCGTCGCTCCTCTCCTCCAAACAAAGAGATAGAGGGATGCAATGAATCAGTGAATTGTTTTAAATATCATTGGTTTTTAAGCATTTAGGCAAAAAACTAAGACAATTTAGTGGACTATCCTTTTGAGGAGGGGCATATAATTCAGTGGCAAGATTTACTTCTCCACTCCATAGGCATTTCAGGCCATGCAGACCCTGAGGCAAAGCGAAAAGTACAAGAAGAAAGAACAAGGTAACTATAAAAATGTGTGCACCAGGTGCGCTCTCGCCTTCCTCTCGCTGCCTCTCTCTATCTTCACCTGCTTTGCATTACCATTTAGAGAGGAAAAAGCCCGATCACGTTTAGGCTTCTTTGCCTGCTTTCGGGTTAGGCAATGAAGGTCTTTATGCATCAATCAATTTGCCGAGAGATAATGCTGCCTCAATGAGAGGACAAAAATGCTTTTTGAGGTAGATTTAAGTGAGTAGTGCCAGTCGTCCTTGTCAAGGCTAGTAAAGTGACTACCACGTAGACTTCTTCCCCATTTTCTTATTTCATGTTGATTCAGCTAATCAGGGTAGGAGGGAAGAGGTCACTGATATTGGTGGTGGATGTCTCAACTTCGTTTCGAACAAAACAATCATCATTAACCCTTTTTAGTTCATCCCCTTTTATGTCGTTAAAGGTTAAAGAACAAGTAGAGGCGATTTTATCTTTTGAAAACCTAGCCCTCCAACCCATTGAAGCAATACGTTATGGCAGCTAATATTCACCTTCCGATTCACCCGCCTCTCGACGCCGACATCATATCTTGCAACACTGCCAGTAAACTAATCCAGACGAAAACATGCACCCCACCTAGGATGAGAAATAGTTTGTGAGCAAGAGAGGAAGGGATAAGGGGAGGAAATGAAGGCAGAACAGAATGTCACACTGGCCCACACTCCTCCGGCCTATAACTCTATCCTTTTGCAAGCTATGGACTCCACATTTTTTCCCTAATAGATCATCACATGTCAGACAAAACTAAGGGCTAGAAAAAGGACCTGTGCAAACACACGTGCATCATCTGCATCTTATTCAAACCAGCTGAATGATCGCTGGAAGTGCTAGGGTACTGAGATAGCGCAATCACTTACTCTCAAGTAACCTAGACACTCTCCTGACTCTA